CTGGGGTCGAGGCCATATCATAAGTGACGGAGACGAGAGCACCGAAATGCGAAAATTCCTCAGCAAATATCTTCGACAAAGTATGTGCGCTGTTCGCATTCGTATTGTGAATTTCATTCCAAGTTCATTCCTCTTTTCATACTACATTCGAACTATCGATGGTGAATTGAATTTTGGATAATGAAAACGTTTGATCAGATTTTTGTCAAATAGTTCATTTCATTTCCTCCAATAGGAACAGCGATAAATTCGAAAACAACACTCAGATTTCTCATTCACAACTTCTCACTACGGTATCAGACTTCATCAAACCACAGCCACTAAAAAANAAAAAAGCAAAACGTGTTTGATTTCTTATAAAGGCCGAATGACATGAACAGATGATAGATGAAGCTCTCTATGCAGACACTAACTGTTCGAGGAGACACAGTCTTATGCATTCATCTGAACCAACACAGTGTAAGTTCAGTGATCAAGGATGTATAAAATCAGTAGACTGCGTAAAATTCTAAACGAATTAAAACTCGAAAAGCACTTAAGTACGCAATGAATGCACTTTCGGGATGCTTTTTTGTAAAGAATTATTACGTCGTTATGTTCAGTTGTTGTTATTTGTTGAATTTGATAGTGGAACCTTATTTCCTTGAAATATTGAGACAATCATAATGCAGTGTAATCCGTGAACTATCAACATTGCGTTCCAATGCAAATATGACAATGGTCATGGTGGTGTACATATTCTTCGTTAATTTTTGTTTTTGGTGTAAGGGAGGGACATGCGAATCATTGCAGAGATTGGTGATGCACGTGGCGGAATTCAAGTGGCTCTCATTCGAGAGATTCAAAATATGATCGATTCAATCGACGCGAAACTTCAGCGAGGTGAAACACATCTGGATATCGAACAAACTGTATTCTATGTGGTTGGAAACGTGTTAACATCGTTCTTATTCGGTCGAACGTATCCGCATGGATCGTTAGAATTCAAGTACGTTTCTGCATTCAGCTGGCAGCTTTTCGACTTGCTCACAGCACAAATCCATCATGAAATCGTCATTGAATCTGTGACGAAATTTTAGAGGAAAAGCGTTAGAATCAGCTAGAAAAACTGCATGAGAACATTTTTTCATGAAAAGCGATTAGTCTGTCACCATGCAAATAGTCATGGAAATACGCGATGATAGGTTATGTTGAGATTGATCACTCGTCAGTTGCGATCATCGTCAAATTTACAATTAAATCGGTAATCAGTCAGTAAGGAATGTAGGAATCTTCGCAAAATTTGGCGAGAGTAAGGCAAAGTCACCTGACTAGAAATAATGAAATAACCAAAAAAATCATAGATCAGTCAATGGTAAAGTCAGAATAACAGGTGGGTGAATGATGAGGGCTTCATGGGACGTAATAAGAGAGACAGAAACAATTAATGAAAATAACTACACTACTGTCTAGTGCAAACCACTCATTCAAAAATCATTATTTGATTGTTTTCACTGATTATTTATCAGTTCAATCTAGAAATTTAAAATTCATAGGCCAATAATGCCTTCGCAATAGTTACAATAGAATCTCAACAAAATAGTTTTTCACAATTTCTAACGAAATTTTTGTAATCATATAATAGTTAATTTCTCACTGTCATTTGAATTTTACAGTACAACGCAATAATTATATTAATTCTACAATAATTATGATAATAATTGCACGGTACAATTGTAATTTGATCACCATCTGATCATAATGGCGATAGGTGGAATATTATTGTAAAAATTCGTCTCCAATCGTGCATTTTACGATGCATATATTCAGTCATCAAACAATCACATGCAAGTTTCATGCTGCATTGCTGTGAAGAAGGTTCATGAATGCAAAAATCATCCGCTCGATGCGGACAACAACAATTCATAGATTAAATTTACGAGTGCTGTTAGTCGGAACAAGGTTTTGGGATGATTGTGGAGAAAAAACACAGTTTTAGCTAAAACTGCGTGAGCGTTCGTCAGCACATTGCATGCGTTTTGTGATAAAGCAGCGCATTTTTGGAAGGAAACGTTAACAGATGAGTGTTTGTTCGAATTTCATAAACTGCACTTGAAAAGCTGCAAGCAATAATGAGTCTGATAACCTTCATAAGGATCTAAGTTAACGTTAACAAAATTCCACAAAATAAGTTGATATCAAATATTGGTGACGAGCAGAGAGAGCGCAAGTTTTTATAATCATGAAACGAAATGTAGCGAATATTTCGATCAGGTTTATTCGACACTTATGAGTTAGCCGTCGTTCTTTGGGAGCTATGAAGGATTGCATCAGCAGCTATTTATGGTTAGTAGGAAGAGCCAACTGACCACAACCGAGTAATTAACTAGTTGATCATCGGTAGGCCTGCTCGCCTAGCCAGCGGAGTGGCGTCTATTAGGGTTAGAAAAGTGCGAAAGGAAACGCGAGCATTTTGGCCAGCAATGTTACAAACGTCTGATAGCCCGGCCAATTCACGTAATCCAGATATGAAGGGCCAAGCATTCAGAACTCGGCAACAAAGTTTCCAGGCAAAATTCATTGTGGCTTCAACGCACACTGACCTTGATGGAACGGACTGCACCGTTGACGTTTCTGCCGTGGTTGCGATACGCACCTCCTGATGGATTCGGCTATTGGAAAATGAAAAAGCAAGCCGCAGAAGTGCATCAAATGATGAGGGATGAGCTTGAACAACGGCTGCAATCACAAGGTTCAATCGCTTATCGAAGTGTTAAATTCCGTAAATTTTTTTGGAATCGTTCTGTACATATTTGAGTGAGGAATCCAACAAGTATCGTAAGTTTGTCATTGAGGATCGTTTAGCTGAGGACTGAATTTGATTCGTTGCTAACTCAACGCACTAATAAAATATGTTTCACTGCCAAAACGTACGGAAAATCGGAATCCTTACCCGGGTAAGACTAGCTGACAAGTGTCCACATTCGGGCTAAAACGGTGGCGGGCATTGCTCAAGCAAGATATGTCTAAAACAAGGTATTAGCTTAAGTCGAGATGTTAGTCTGAAGCTCAGTCCGAGTATGAGCCTGAGACAATTCGAAATTTTGAGTTGTCGGCGGCTTTCAGTCAGTCTGATTATAGATTATAAGGATGAATCAAAGAGCGATTTGACGAGTGTGTTACTGCGGAAGTTAGATGAGGTTCGATCGGACAGATCGGCCACTGTTATCGAGCAACGTAATTTCAATGAAGATAGGATTGCAATGCTCATGACTGAGATGTTCTTTGCTGCCATTCAAACTGAATGCAACACATTTGGATGGGCATTCCTCTACTTCATCGAGCATCCTCAGGTCCAACAAAAGTGTCGTCAACAAATTCTTGCCAAGGTTCTTGAATTACATTCTGCCTGTGCGAGCGTTTTTGTGTTTGTTTCTCACACAAAATCTGCCTAAGTTCGTTACTTCAGGACAGAAGCCACTATCAAGCAGTTTCTGAAGTGTATGAATTGAACCAATTTCTATGTTCACTGGTCATATAACCTCACTGAAATTCAGCGATTAATATTCATAACCTTCCGAGCTCTATTTGTGACGTTTCCTTCAATCGTGGAGTACTTTCAGTTCGGCACTGAAAGTCGAGTACGTTGGTCGGATCGAGTCCATCTTCCATATGTAGAAGCAACGGTTTTTGAGGTGCAGCGATGCGCGAATATTGCACCGTTTAGTGTTTTTCACAGGTGAAAATATTTTACAACTTTGGCATAGCAACAGTTTGAACGATCGCGAACCGATGACTCACGGGACGAATGCTGAGAGCAAGCCTTACTCTTTGAAGATGAAATATGTATTTTCAAGAAGTCGTATGCTAGTCGCAGAGAACGCCTTCTAATCATTTATCAGTTGACAGTGAAGAATTTCCGAGACATTCCATGTTATCCCCCAAGAAAGTATTCCCATAACTGGTTTCCATTTTGTTCACTAAAGGAAAAAGGAAGGTTTTATGAAAGTTTAGTATGAGAACTAATTTTGTGGTTATTGAAATGGTCGATTGCATAAACCATTTTGTAGGAATTATCACGCCACCACTCTTGATGGCTATTATGTACCGGCTAATTCAACTATTCTGATGAATCTGTACTCAACATTGATGGATCCCAATTGCTTCCGAGGCGAGCTTCACTTTTCTCTTGATTTCTTCCACTTCTTTCTAAAAACCTTCCTTTCGCATCATACGAAGATGCTTCTGCGCTAAAAACTTTACGCTTACGACGAATGAATACATTGCTGCATGACATTCAATGTAGACAGCGATGTAATTCCATTTTTGATTGTTGCGATTCATAAATAATATCAGCTGTCTG